GATCAGGCATGGGCAAACTTCGGCCCTCCAATGTGTTGGACTTCAACTCCCACAATTCTGGTAGGCTGCTAGGAATTGTAGAAGTTGAAGTCCAAAACACCTGGAGGGCCAGAGTTTGCCTATGCCTGATCTAAAGTGTAATGAGAATTTCCCTTAGGAAAGCCAAAAAATGGCTCTCTGCTGCCATCTGGTGCAGACAAGGAATGTTTTTAATGTTGGTTGTCCAATGTTTTTTGACTCCCTCCATCCTTTTATTTTAATCAGGGGGATAAAAAAGCACCCTGGGATTTGTAGTTTGGTGAGGCACCAGTACTCATTGGCGAGAAGGGAGTTGGAAAACCACAACTCCCACGACTCCATTGCATGGGGTCATGGGAGTTCAAGTGGAGTCAAACTGCAACAATGCTACAGTGTTGATAGTTACTTCTCTTGGAAAACTACAACTATATAGCATGGGGTCATGGCAGTTCAAGTGTGGTCAAACTGCTACAGTTTCGATAGATACTTCTCTTGGAAAACTACACCTACCACAACTCCATTGCATTGAGTCATGGGAGTTCAAGTGCGGTCAAACTGCATCAATCTATATACCGTATATTCCGGCATATAAGACGACTGGACGTATAAGACGACCCCCAACTTTTCCAGTTAAAATATAGAGTTAAGACGACTCCCACGCATAAGACTACACCCGCGTATAAGACGACCCCTGACTTTTGAGAAGATTTTCTTGGGTTAAAAAGTAGTCTTATACGCCAGAATATACTGTAAATAAAAATGTAATGTTCGTTTGTGGGATTAACAGAACTCAAAAACCACTAGACGAATTGCCACCAAATTTGGACACAAGACACCTAACAACCCAATGTATGTCCTTCACTGAAAAAATTGATTTTGTCATTTGGAAGTTGTAGTTGCTGGGATTTATAGTTCACCTACAATCAAAGAGCATTCTGAACCCCACCAACGATGGAATTGAACCAAACTTGGCACACAGAACTCCCATGAACAACAGAAAATACTGGAAGGGTTTGGTGGGCATTGACCTTGAGTTTTGGAGTTGTAGTTCACCTACATCCAGAGATCACTGTGGACTCAAACAATGATGGATCTGGACCAAACTCTACACAAATACTCAATATATCCAAATGTGAACACTGGTAGAGTTTGGGGAAAATAGAATCTTGACATTTGGGAGTTGTAGTTGCTGGGATTTATAGTTCACCTACAATCACAGAGCATTCTGAACCCCACCAACGATAGAATTGGGCCAAACCTCCCACACAGAACCCCCATGTGGGCCACAGTAACGTGTGGCAGGGGACGGCTAGTGCTACAATATAGATAGATACTTCTTTTGGAAAACTACAACTCCCACAACTCCATTGCATTGAGTCATGGGAGTTCAAATGGGGTCAAACTGCATCCATGCTACAGTGTAGATAGACACGTGTCTTGGAAGACTACAACTCCCACAACTCCATTGCATTGAGTCATGGGAATTCAAGTGGGGTCAAACTGCATGAATGCTAAGTATACATCAATACTGTAGATAGATATTTTTTCTTGGAAAACGACAACTCCCACAACTCCATTGCACTGAGTCATGGCAGTTCAAAGGGAGGGGGGGGGGGGGTCAAACCGCATCCATCCTACAGTTTAGAATAGATACTTCTCTTGGAAAGCTACAACTCCCACAACACCACTGTATTAAGTCATGGGAGTTCAAGTGGGGTCAAACTGCATCCATGCTATAGTTTAGACACGTGTCTTGGAAAACTACAACTCCCAGAACTCCCACAACTCCATTGCATTGAGTAATGGGAGTTCAAGTAGGGTCAAAGTGCATCCATGCTACAGTCTAGATAGACGCTTCTCTTGGAAAACTACAACTCACACAGCCCCATTGCATGGAGTCATGGCAGTTCAAGTGGGGTCAAACTGCATCCATGCTACAGTGAGTAGATAGTGCTCTTGGAAAACTACAACTCCCACAGCCCCTTTGCTCATGGCAGTTCAAGTGGGGTCAAACTGCATCCATGCTACATATAGATAGATACTGCTCTTGGAAAACTACAACTCCCACAACTTCATTGCACTGAGTCATGGGAATTCAAGTGGGGTCAAACTGCATTAATGCCAAGTATACATCGATATTGTAGATAGATATTTTTTCTTGGAAAACTACAACTCCCACGACTCCATTGCACTGGGGCATGGCAGTTCAAGTGGAGTCGAAATGCATCCACGCTACAGTGTAGAATAGATACTTCTCTTGGAAAACTACAACTCCCACAACTCTATTGCATTGAGTCATGGGAATTCAAGTGGGGTCAAGCTGCATCCATGCTACAGTATAGATAGATACTTCTCTTGGAAAACTACAACTCCCAGGGTTTCATAGCACTGAGCCAAGACATTCAAAGTGGCGTCAAACTGCATTGATTCTATAATGTAGATGCACCCCAAGGAAAAGTGAAGCCGCTTTCCTTTCAAATGCCGTGTTAATTAATCAGCCGGCCCCTTTAAGAAATGGAACAATCAAGGGAAGAATTAGGCCGCGGCTCCTTTAAGAAGACAGCCCGGTTCCCTTTCCTGCTTCACGCGAAGGCAGCGCTTCCGTTTGTTTCGTCTCCTGAGCGTTCGCAGAAGCTCTCACCACGCATGCGCAGCCCGGGAAGTTCTTTCTGGTCCAGGGGCTTCGATCCACGCGGGTTCTGTGCGGAGGGAGTTGCCGGCGGCTGTTATGGTGAGTCTGTGACGTCACAGTGCTGGCCATTCCATCAAACACCCCCTCCTCCCCCCGGAAAGTTGAAGGGCATTAATTCAATGGGGTGAAACTCCTCCTTTGTTGTGATTGTTGGTCTCTTGTCTTTGGGGTCTTCTCTTAAGCAGGCACAGGGCTCGTTTGCAATTCAGGAAGGGGAACCTGCTTGAAGGGGAGTCCATGCAAGTCCATGTCTAATTGGGGTGCATCTACACTGTAGAAAGAGTGCAACTTGACATCACTTTAATTGCCATTGCTCAATGCTATTTAATCATGGGAGTTGTAGTTTGACGAGGAAATGTTGACCATTTCCGCTACCTTGGCAGCCACCTCTCCACCAAAGTCAACATCGACACCGAAATACAACACCGCCTGAGCTCTGCGAGCGCAGCATTTTTCCGAATGAAGCAGAGAGTGTTTGAGGACCGGGACATCCGTAGGGATACCAAGGTGCTTGTTTATAAAGCTATTGTCCTCCCAACCCTGCTCTATGCCTGCGAAACGTGGACTGTCTACAGACGTCACATGCAACTCCTGGAACGATTCCATCAGCGCTGCCTCCGGAAAATCCTGCAAATCTCTTGGGAAGACAAGCGGACAAACGTCAGCGTGCTGGAAGAAGCAAAGACCACCAGCATTGAAGCGATGGTCCTCCGCCATCAACTCCGCTGGACCGGCCACGTTGTCCGGATGCCCGACCACCGTCTCCCAAAGCAGCTGCTCTACTCCGAACTCAAGAATGGAAAACGGAATGTTGGAGGACAGGAAAAGAGATTTAAAGATGGCCTCAAAGCCAACCTTAAAAACTGAGACACTGAGAACTGGGAAGCCCTGGCCTGTGAGCGCTCCAGCTGGAGGTCAGCTGTGACCAGCAGTGCTGTAGAATTTGAAGAGGCACAAATGGAGGGAGACAGAGAGAAATGTTCCAAGAGGAAGACACGTCAAGCCAATCCCGACCGAGACCGCCTTCCACCTGGAAACCAATGCCCTCACTGCGGAAGAAGATGCAGAGCAAGAATAGGGCTCCACAGCCACATACGGACCCACAAGAATATTGGAAGACAATCATCCTCGGAAAGCGAGGGATTCGCCAAAGAAGAAGAAGAAGTTTGGCGAGGCACCAGCTGTTATTTGGCAGAGAAGGATAAAGACCTTGCAAAACTATAACTCCCATGTATCATTTTTGCTGGTGTCAAAATGGCTACATATACCTTTAGCTTAGATCAGTGGTTCTCAACCTTCCTAATGCCGCGACCCCTTAATACGGTTCCTCATGTTGTGGTGACCCCCAACCATAACCCTAACATTATGAATCACCATGTAAATAATGATCTGCAGGATGTATTTTCATTCACTGGAGCAAATTTGGCACAAATACCCGGTATGCCCAAATTTGAATACTGGTGGGGTTGGCGGGGGGATTGATTTTGTCATTTGGGAGTTGTAGTTGCTGGGATTTATAGT